ACTATCGTAGAGCATCCGCCATTTCTTGTTCAGTGTGGCCACAGTTGGAAAGAAATTTTAAAAATCGTATGACTGTTATTATGCCACTATGCATCATATGGTTACAGAACATTTATCTTCATGTGCCGGATCAGGCACATAGTAAAAGTATAGATGAGCAGCTTTTTGTAATATGGGCATAGAGACGGGGTAAAAAACCTTCTTTAAAAGTTAAAAGCGTATTACAAAAACGACCAACAACTCTTCAAAGAATCTGAACTTATGAATTTCTGGGGCTCAAATATAATTATACAGGGCAACAATTACAAAAAAAATGTTGCTTTGAATTTAACGTCAATTTGTAATTAATACTTTGAAGTCTTATTGGTACGTTTTTATAAATAAATTGATTTTAGTAACATGATTTTGTCGGGCAGAAGCTGTCTCAAAGAGCAAAGCATATTTTGTTACATTTGTGGTGGATAAATAGTTAAAAAGTTTCGAAAATGTGGAAATTTTAAAAAAGTTGTTCACCCAGGCTAGAAAGCCCCTATTATATATATCAAGGTTCAGTTAGTGTACTCTTAATTTACGTAATTTAACCCAATATATTGGCCAAATCAATATATTTTTATTCAGGGCGGCAAAGTGACCATCAGCTGAAAATGAACATTCAAAAACAAAATATTTTCGCCTCTGGCTAATTGGACGTGTTGAGTAATCATTGAAGATTTTTTACGTAACTAACTAGTGGCATGTTTTTTTTTTTGTTGAGATGTGCAGCCATTTTACTGAAAATGTGTCTTTCGAAATACGTTAGAATGGGGCCTATAAAAGATTTTTGAAAGGAATTTTTTAAGATATATAAATGTTTTTTTTTTACATTTTGTTTTTCCGAACATTGGTACTGCAGGCTTTGGCAAGCTTGATTAAGGAGTGATACTCAGTTGAACAACAGGTAGAAGTGATCCAAAAATTTATGCCGATTTTTCAAAAATTTTCACCTAAACGGATACGTTAACAAAAAAAAACGTTATACACTGCAGGAAAAAATATGCAGCCACACTATTTTTTGTGGCTTTTGGGCTGGCAGAATCATCGGACTTTACTTGCTCAAAACTAAAGCCGGTAACGCTGTTACAGCGAATGGACTTTATCGTGAAATGATAACAAACATATTTTGCCACTTTCTGGAAAATTGCAAGTCAAGGAACTACTTCGAAATTATAAACGACGGCATTAAAACCTCGGTATGTAAGCTGTCTACCAAAGTGCACTAACTCCACAGTCATATTGACCAATTGCCAGCAAATCATGGCGAAGAAAAGGGAGAACGATTTTTCAAGGGCGGAAGAACTATGGCAGATTGGTACCAAGTCACATGGGCTCGTCGTATGACGGCTGACTCCTGCTGATCGAAGTAAGTAATATGTAAATATTTTCGTTTTCACACAAACTGAAATCTACGTCAATTTGGTTAACCCAAACATATCCATTTCCCATGGTGGAATAATACAAGGTGTTGGATATTGACAGCGTTCTCGCTCTAATCTGCCATCTTGGCTCCCTTAGCAAAATCGGTGTTTCCCTCTTGAAAAAACTAAACTACCTCATTCCCTATTCCAAAACTGATTTGCAATCACTGAACAATTCTTTGACATTTACTTTATTCTTATTCGTTGACAAAATTAAATTAAAAATTAAAATCATTAATTCGACAAAAAACATTGGCTTTGTGTATTCTCCAAAGGCCTAAAATCAGCCAAATACCCTATGTGGGTCGGCTTAATCAGTAAAACGTGACAGTAGTTGACTTTTGAGGTTAATATATCGGTCTTGAGCTGGTACGGCTTTTAAAACATCCGCAGCTTCCTTTAAAGCATCGCTGCTAATTGCTGAGAGGACCAGATTATATTTCCGGACATAAGATGTGGTATTGTACGACTGAAAGGTGGCCTCAATTTGTAGAAACCATTTGTTTGGCATCTCAGTTCAGAACGGTCGCAGCTTGCATTGCGATACAAGCTCCACATCTTTAGTTGGCATTTTGTTCGTTGAAATATTTTCCCCATCCGTCGATGCGCCCTTTTGTCGACTCCGTCATGTTGTAACGACTCGGGGTCACCACTAATTTTTTGATGGCGAAATTTTTGTAAGTTATATCAATCATCTTATAGTATTTTCGGGTAAAAATTAGACCCCAAAGCGGTTTTGGAAGTTTGACTATAATTATAGGACATTGTGTTTAATAAACTAAATTACCATTTATTGCATAAGTGCTACGTAATATATACTACTTTCGCAAATTTAGCTTATCATAATATACCGTTTGTTACTATTTATATGCAAAATTTGATATGAAAGAGTACCAAATTTCGTACTACTTCGCAAAGCGTGCTTCTTTTCTTCCCGTTTCTCTCGTTCTTCCATATTACAACCTTTTGTAAGGGAGCCGTCGACATGAGCTGTCACTACGTACAACACCTTGTATAATTCCACCATGTCCATTTCCAATTTCAACAATAAAAACGTTAAACTTATTTGTTCCACATACATATCCATTTACTTATATTTCTACTAATGTTTATTGCTGTCAAGTATTACAAAAAAATGTATCAGCTTGTTGTCTGATTGGCTTGTTTGTTTGTATTTGAATGCAACTACATATGTCTCTAAAGTATATCTAACAACTAATATCACAATTATTTAATTGATTTCGTGAATGCCAATGAAGTTAAAGTTGTGCATCGCCAGCAAAACTGGATAATTCTAATAATGCCTTAAATTGTTTGCTTTGTTTGCTGCAAGTGCGGTAATGTGTTTGTTGTACACTAAACGCATTGAAGAGCAACAACAACGCTGTTTACTGCTTATCCAATATTTCGAAGTCGCACACCAATGAGAAGTGATCTGATGGATACTGGAAGCTAGGCGTTCGATTTTTGCCAACTTCATCATCCCTGGGGAATTCCAGACAATTACGAATCTGTAAAATACAAAATAATTACATACATACATAAATAAGTAATTGGCTTGTTGCCATAATAATCTTAATAAAATAAATACTATTTAAATTAATATTTACCTTGAACTGCTCTGGCGTGTAGAATACATAATCGATGGTGTGACACTCTTCGCCATCTTCGCGTATTTTCCACGTGGTATAAGGTGGCTCTCGCTGTATTGATTTCATTACGCTGTCATCGCAAATAAGCTCCACTTCTTCCTCGACCTCCTCCCCGTCCTGCTCAACCATCTCAGGCGCCTCAGAAACTAACTCTGCATCAGCTTTCACTTCATTAGCGCTATCGTTATTGCATTCATCGCGCTCGGCTTTGACATCCGCATAGGCGCTGGCCAATTTTAGCAGCTCACCACTCAGCACTGTGGCATATACTGGCTCCGTGGGTTCGGCATTGAAGTCGCCACAAATCAATACTGGACGTTGCGTGGCGAATTGTTTCACAAAACGCAACAGATCGCGGCCTTGCTCATTGCGCAATTTCGATAGCAGAGAGCCATGACGCGCCTTCAGATGAGTGGTGCATACGCAGAACTCCTTGCCGGTAGCCTTAACAGCTAGGTTAACTACGATAGCCACTTGATTGCTTTGCACGCGCCACACTTCCAAAATGCGGGTATCGAAGTTCTTCAGTTCGAATTTGTCGCGTTTGTAAAAAATGGCACAGCCATCCGGGCCGTTATTCTCCTCAATGTACAAGCATGGCGAATCGGGTTTCGGAAAGAATATGCCTTCATAGTTTTGTGTACCCAAAATGGTTTGTAAAAACTTGAAATGATCCACTTCCTGTGAAATGAAGAGATGAAGAAATTTATGAAGAGGTTGTTGCGGGGGCCAAGAAATATACACTTCATTACCTGTAGGCAAATGATGTCGGGATTGTTCTGTAGAATTTCTTGGACGATGAGAAATTTTCGATTCTC